TACAATGCTATAATCTTCACAAAACTGTTAACGCTGTGATTTTAAAACACACCTGTAATAAAATGGTAAACGACTGCAAATAAGTCATTGTCGAAGTTGTTATATTAATAGAAATTCACGGCACCGAGGGATAGAGAAACAGTTCTATAAGTTTGTACTATAGCGAGGTAGTTTACAGGTGAAACTTTACTTTGAAAAAAAAATGTATGTAAGAGCAATACAAATTAAAATTTGTGGATAACAACGGCGTCAAGAATCGTTCCCCGAGACTCAAGTGTTGTTAGATAAAGTGATTGCATAAGGCAGCATAATTAGATAATGATGCGAAGTGGAAGTGTGGTAGCATAGAAAATTGACAAATTTCCTTCGCGACTGAGACAAACTAATTAGGACATTCGGAACTGTTGAATTGTCTGCATGTTTGTTTAATCAAGCCATGCATTCTATAACGCTTTTGATACAACTGCATTACATCTAATATGAGCGGCTGAATTTAATTTAGCTGTGAGAATGACCCCGAGATCTTTTACTATGGAAACAAGTTTAACCATATCGCCGTCAATTTTGTAGTTTGAAGAAATGTCGCAAGTTTCTTTTTAGTGACACTTGTAATATTACATTTCTTTTGAAAAAGCCACATTTCACACCACTCAAGTACTCTATTTAAATCGTTATGGAGGGTGAAACAATCAACATTATTGAAAATATATTTGAAAGTTCACGTTATCAGACATATCGCTGATGAACATAATCAGGGACCACCAGCATAGCGCCCTTGGGTACATCAGATGTCACATTCGTTCAAAATAACGTGGCGCCCCGAAACAATACGAGCAGAGCAATTTATAAATATTTCTATGGATTCCGTAACATTGCAGTTTGTGTACCAGCAATGAGTGATTTACACTATCAAATGTCTTGGAGAAATCAATTCAAGATGTATTTAATTCACTTGCCTTCCGGAGTCAAGATCAGTTGTGATTTAATCCACGTATTCAACAAGATTGATAGCGGTAGAACGATCCTCCATAAACCCAAGTTGACAAGTAATAACATTATAACATTCTTGTCACGACTGTGCAGAGAGTCGACAAGGGATATTTTCGTAATAATGTAAATCAAATAAATAAAACACGTAAATTTGTGAACATGGGCAAAATGTTTAAAATGTAATTATTTTATTCGTCCGTAATTTGTAAAAAAAATCTTATTATTCTTATTTTCTTATATTTTGCACGTCAAATGTTGCAATTCCAATTTTGATTCTTGAACACCGTGACAAATTATCGAATATATCATACAATTGTAAAATTCAATTAGGAATTTGCTTTATTTGCTTTATTTTTTTACTGTAAACGGAACTTCATTTTATTTCCTATAAAAACTTTAAATCCCTTTTTTTTATTTCCTGTAGCCTGTGTAGTACATTCCAGATAATAATGGGCCATAGTTAGTTACATCAGAACGAGAACTACACTTGAAACAGGAACACTACTAGTATTTTTCCGTTTAAAAATAAAGGAAACGTACCAGCGAATAATTAAAAATAATCGACAATGGGATGCATAAATTATGATCACACTCCTCAAAAATACTAGAAATACACTTGTCTTGCTCGCGTTTATACTTCGCAAAACTAGTAGCACTTGATCAGTCGTTATTGCAGTGTGGTTCAGTACTAGGATATTGAATTGTAAATGAACGACTTTTGGGAAATTGCTTGACAGTATGGTTGGTGAAAGTACTTTGAAAAATGCATTTAATGTATCTGCAATGCCAACGGTTGAATCAGCAGTGTGGTTATCCTTTTATAAAACATTTTAAAGTTTACTAGTAATAGCTACTAGTAAGTGGCTTTCGCGATAAGTGGCTTTCGCGGTAAGTAGGTTTCGTATTGGGTTGGTCTCGCGGGGAGTACGGTTTTGTCGCAGTAACTGGTCCTTTCATCGTTGTTGAGAATTAAAGTTTTATGTTTCTTTAACAACTTGCGCTATTCTGGGAATACCATCCTTAGAAGCTTTTAATTTGCCCTTATGATTTGTGCAGTTGCTCTGGCAGGAGTTCCAAAATAGGACCTATGCTCTAATAATGCTCATAGTTTCAAAAACCAAGAAACATTATCATTATGATCTTATTGGTGTTACAAAGGATAGTTGAATATTGTTTATTAAAATTAATAATCCCCATAACAGTTTTCCAATATAGATAAATTATAGTACATAACAAATATATAACTCAGTCTAAACAATGAAATAAAGAAATGTACATATATATTGGTGATCCGCTCCGCTAGGATTGCCAGCCAAAAAAATGATTTTTGAATAGATTCGCGCCAAATGTATCTCCTCCTACAAATGTAGGATAAAACACTTCAGACATTGCTCATTCTACTCAGCTTGAGTGTGGGCACAAAGTTACTATTTGAATTTTTGATATCTTTTTTCATTACCGAGCAATTTGAAGTTGGGATATTTTTTCACCAGCAACAGCTTTTAACTCCTCTGTATTTTTTTCGGCTCGGCTGATTTTGTTCATACTTAGGTCGTACCGTCAATAATTGGAAAAAAATCCTGGCCCACCACTGTCATTGCAACATCAAATGTATTACATGTACCTCCTACCAGTTTTGTAATAGTAGTGTTCAAATGATCATGCTTTTTATTTTGGATACAATGCACACTGGTAAGAGATCATCAACGCCGACATTGTTACACTGTATCAACGTAATCCCAAATCAACTTTGAATGAACTGTAAATGCTGCCTTCATTCTAGAAAATACTATCGCAAAACGGTTGGAAATAATAAATGTAACAGCAGAATACGTCCTAGTAATAAACTATGTGACTTCCAAAGACTGAATGGTTTTTGCGAACTTTGTATACAGGGCCCATTTAGTTATAAACAACGTTAGCTTCACGTTCATGTCCTACCATGGAAACAGCCAAAAACATGTTGCTAGTTTTTTGAGCGGAGCGGATCGTCAACCAGCCTACCGGCTTGTATTGATTATGTCCCGGACTGTTTACTAGTACTTACTTAATTGTCAGTGTCTGATTGTTATATACAGCCCTGAACACGTCAGAATAGTAAAAAAAAAGTCAGGAAATGTCAGTTGCTCGTGCCTTGAGAGCCTTTGAATCAAAACAATCTGTCACCCTTCGCCGCCCACAGCACCGATATGATTTTATATTGCATGAAAAAGAACACTAAATGCAGCTATCCCGGTCAGCAATCGAATCATCAATCTTCATGATTTATGCAACTGGTATTTCCATCTATTTGCTTAATGGTCTGAACTTTAAAATTGTCAAGTTCGAGAGTGTGTTTTTACGTACAGTGGCGTAAACATTCAACAACATGTTGAACAGTAAGTCCATTTTGGGCTAGTGGCATTGTCAAATTTTAGAGAGTACAGAAAAAGTTTCAATAAGGAATTGTTATGCATATCAAAATTCTTTATTGGAACAGAACATGTTATATATTCATCAAAAAAAAACGTTGCCATGTTTCTAGGCATACAACGAATTGAAAACAAAAGAAATCGTCCGATCTTAACGACCTGCATCCTTGAGAATCTAGTCTAGAGACCACCACTGTGTTGTCTGCGTGAAGCAAGACTCTGCGGTCTCGAACTATGGGTAGAAAGGTGAAAGAAAACTTCTTTCAATTCGAGGCAGTTGATATGGCAGCTCTGAATCTAACGCTGGGGCCATATTTTCCATTGGCCTTGTTCGTCCAAAAGGTGTGCTCCCCAACAAGCCCACCTCTGTGTCGAACTCCCTGCCCAGAAACACAAACTGTTATGTTGATTGAGGGTGGGACTTGCTCGATTAATTAGGAAGCACAACTGGTCTAGAAAATCTGGTGTTAGCCTTACTGTTTGACTAACCACCCCTTGTTGGGTTGTGTATCAATCAGCCTTCTAGGTGCACATTGATGTGTACTGATGAGATGTGTACCGGCGCAGAATTAACACCACCTGTTTCCACACTCTGGTGAATATATATGGAGCCATGCAAAACCTGAAGGGAAGCACCCTGTACTTGACTAATTGGCCCAACTGGGCAAATCGAGGGAGTCGCTGACTCACTGGGTGCATCGGTATGTGCGGGTAAACAATGCGTTCCAGTGGACTGGCCACAACTCGAAGGTTGAGGGTCGCCACACTGCTCTCAGTGCATGGATTGTTTCCAACTAATTGGTCAAAAAATTCCATGAACGTGACCACCCCCTTTGTCTGTCCCACCGAATCAAAAAATTCGTGGTACTGGAGTCTGGGAGGAACCGAATGATCTGATCGGGGTGCGAGATTTGATTCCAGACTCTGGTCTCAAACACCGCTCGATCGGGTAGCGCTTGGTCCAGTGGAAAGGGTTGGGCTTAAAATTGCCCTACCCGAAGGAGTTGGGCCTCTATGTATGGCGCCGCCTTATTACCTCGGTCACGTGGTTTGTGACGCAAGGGGAAAATCCTGAGGTCATGGGACTTCCCCTGACCTAGATTTCTCTCTCCGTCATTGGCTGAATTGCAGATTAATGCCTACAGTTCAAAATAGTCATTTTGACTGACCAGAGTCTATGGTGGGTAATTGAACGTAGTGAATTTCATGTGTTTTTCAGTTTCAATATATATATATTTAAAATCTTACATAAAAAAACGAGCACGAGTGGGTTTTCAGAGTATTTTTACTTTACTTTCCATTTTTTCATAGTTTTTACATAGTTTTCCACTCTACGCCTGGAAAGTTGTCTTTTGTCTTAAAGGTAGTCAATTAATATGCATAATCAGGTAATTTGAGCGCAGTGTCATAAAAGTTGTCACTCGAGTCATAAATGTCATAATTGGAACGTCGTAAAACGTACAGGTATAAATGCAAGGAAATTTGTAAGTCGGATCACATTTTTTTTCTTCTTTTCAAAATAATAAATATCTGTATCACGAAAAAAGCAGGAATAAACACTTACTATATTTCCAAATAATTTTATGATGAATCTTCACAATATATAGTGAGCACTCATTGGTGGTTGTTCACTTGATATCAGTTTAATTAACATATTTCTCTGAAATAATCTTCAGGATAGCATGAGCGGTAGAACAGAACCAGCAGGGGAGTCGTCACCTGCGCATGCGTCAGATGGTCATAGCAGGTAATTGTTTGCAAACAAGTGTCTACCCATGAGCATTTTTAGCATGTGTTGTTATCGTCGCTTGGAACTCAATTCCTGCACGTGCGCATGTGATGACCCTCTCGTTTTAAAGGGCAGTGGTCATCGTGCAGGGTGTTAAAATTTCTTGTAAACAAACAATGTATTTTACACGCATTGTATATGTTGCTATGCGTCCAATATCAAACATACCGGTAACACTGTGTGACAAGCACCGGCCTTAAAAAAAGTAACCTGTAGTTTGAAAAAAAAATTATATATTTAATAAATACAGAAACCAAAATTTGTATTAATTCTCATAATGGAATAATTTATTTATAAAATATTTTTTTTTGAACTGGAATGAACATTAACTTTAAAACAGACAAACACGTATACATGCACACATACAGACTGAGTAAACTCAAAGACTCCCATTTGTACAGTACATGTGAGAGTCAAAAGGTATAAATTGAACAATTAGGTAATAAAATGAGTGCCTGAATGCACACCAAAAACTCTATAGATCACTGTCCATTACTGTTTCATGATCTTTTTTTGATGAAAGAATCAATGTTTACAGACATATACAATGCATTTGCATCAACTAGACAGGCAGGCATCTGAGTTGTGTTCAGTCTGTCAGAAAAAACTGTTTCTCGCCTTGTTCTGAGACTTCATTCAACACCGAGGGCGTTGTTTCCCACTATAATGTCATAGTTATACATAGAATATACATGTTGAGTTGTGTAGTTCATACAATCTTAAATTCACAAAGTATGCCCCAGTGGTCACTTGCAAACCTCCCACAAGGAAGTCTTTCAGTTCCAACAAACATAAACATTTGCGGCAGCAGTTTCGAAGAACATCCCTGGCGTAAAAACAGCCTGTCAAAGCGACATTTTGGTTTAAATGGCATATCGAGATTGTCATTTTTCGTAATATCCCATGAAAATTGGGCATCTTCAGGGCTTCCACACATCTGCCAAACATCACCAATAGAATCAGGTAAGCCACCGATCTGAGTGATCTGAAAAGTAGTAATAGAATTTATAAGAAACGCAGCAACAATTTAATAGCATGTAATCACATCCTGTCGTAGCACGCAAACGATCATGCAGATACAGGTTTCCTTACCCAAGCCTCCTTGTGCCACATCCAATCTCGGAATCACACGTATAAACTCACTAATGTATAACTACATGTGGGACAACATAAATATAAGGTTATCACAAGAACACTGCAAAGTATGTTCGCAGGCAGTATGGCATCACATCGACCAGGACTGTGTTAAAGTTCTGCCTTTTACTATTGATAAAAAAGTGCTAGAGCTTGACACCTTGTGGGCATTTCATCAAAATTTGATATCACTGTCTTTGTTATCATGAGAATTTTTATATTCTCACTATAGGTAACTCAAGGCAAATGCTGTGCCATTTGATTTCCCTTGTTTAACACTTATTTTATTTAAATATCATGTGAAGTCAATGTGAATATCATTTTAGGAAATTACAGATGATGATAACTATTAAAATGTTTTTTTTTTTCAAGATCACTATATCAATATGTTGTGTCAATGAAGTGCCAATGAAATCTTGCAGGTGCATTACTGTCACCGCTATATTGTTCCAAACAGTAACGTTGCAAACTAGGTTGCTGATTGGTTTGCTATGCGCACCTGGAAATTGATACGTTGGGTCAAAACAACCTCAACAGGAGACATCAAACTAACAGTGGGGGACTTGGACACGTTGAATATAAAGAGAAGATCAAGATGCAATTGCCTTTCATTTTATTTCATACAATCGTAAAAATGTGGATAGAATAAATGGTAAAGTTAGGACACAGTCAATGGTGGTGCTGTCAATAAGCTCGTAAATGAGTGCATTTAGCCGAACTGACCAGTACTAATCATGTAACGATCTCAAGACGTGCATAAGAAACCAGTCACCAACTTGCTGTTTGGTTGTTCAAAACAATATGACGGGTGCATTAAAATATCAGTAGAATTAATTACAGCTGCAATACAAGCATCAAGACAGGGTAAATTAATGTCTCTTACTCTGGCTGGCTGCCGGTTGGTCATTTTCAATAAAATTGTGAAACAAATTAATGTGCATCAGGTAAAGCCATCCTTTTGACATTTAGAGTTTTGGTGGGAAAAATGAAATAAATACCAGGCAATATAGATATTATTTAATTGAAACAAGTCATTGAAAATGACACAGTCCCCGTTAAGTTCTCTTTGTGCTCGTCATATTAAAGCGGAGGGTTGTCGCGAGCGTGTCCTTGAAACTTGAGTTTCAAGTGTCGTATACAACAGATTGTTTATTTACATCAAAACACGTGTTTCGTGTTGTAGTAATATGGCCAAAATAACAAGTCATTGTCAATGACACGTCCCTGTTCAGTTCATATTTGAGTGACATATACATTCAAAGCAGATCATGACCAAAATGCACCTGCATATGTACAACACATTGTACTAAATCTGAACAAAATCTATCCATGCATGACTGAGATCCAGTTCCGGAATTGGGAAAATACGTGATTTTGATACATTTTCGGCCTTAAAATGGCCATCATTCAGCTAAGCAGATCACGAAACGAATGCACATATCTATTTGTGACATGATGTACCATGTGTGTGTGAAGTTTGAACTTGATCAATCCAGACATGTCTTGGATATGGATCCAGAACTGAATTCTTCAAAACAAAATGGCCGCCAGTCGGCTATTTCGAACCAAGGTCCTATTATGTTTAATGTATGTACCAAATTTGAACGAAATCCGTCCATGCATAACTGAGATCCGGGTTCGGAATGGTGAAAATGTGCGATTTCAATGCATTTTCGGCCTTAAAGCGGCTGCCATTTGGCTATCGTTAATGAGATCATGAAACAAATGCACATACATATTTGTGACATGATGTACCTTGTGTGTGTGAAGTTTGAACTTGATCAGTCCAGACATGTCTTGGATACGGATCCAGAACTGAATTCTTTAAAACAAAATGGCCGCCAGTCGGCCATTTTGAACTTGGTCCGAAAAAAAAAAATGACATGCATCAAGGTCCTATTATGTTTAATGTATGTACCAAATTTGAACGAAATCCGTCCATGCATAACTGAGATCCGGGTCCGGAATGGTGAAAATGTGCGATTTTCGGCCTTAAAATGGCCGCTATTCGACTATCGTTAATCGGATCATGAAAAAAATGCATGTGCATATGTCCCATATAATGTGTGATGTATGAGTGAAGTTTGAACTTAATCGGTCCATTCATGTTCGAGATACAGGTGATCACGGACGGACGGACGGACGGACGCACACAGGGCAAAACATAAGTCCCCGTTTTCAGACTACGTCCGAACGGGGACTAAAAACAGCCGTTATTTGGCCATCTTTGATCTGATTATGAAACACACTGGTATGTATGATGTATGTGCCAAATATGAATGAAAATGGTACATAAATTGTGGAAATATAGTAGTAAGGCCAAAATGTCAGATGGCTGTCAATCGGCCATCCTTGACCAGATTTTGAAACAAATTGTCATTGACATGCATCTAACATGTATAAAGTACATGTATGTGCCAAATTTGAATGAAAACTGACAGAGCACATCCAAGATACCGCATTAAAAAACAAAAACAAGATGCCTGCCAGTCGACCATCTTTGATCCAATTGCGAAATAAATCGCCATGGACATGTATCCGGACATGTATAATCTATGTACCAAGTTTAAATGACAACTGACAAAGCATGTTCAAAATACAACATTTTCAAAAAACAAGATGGCTGCCAGTCAGCCATTTTGAATCAAATCACTAAACCACTGCATGTGCATATGTCCCACATATAGTACTAAACACATGCAAAGAATGAATGGAAACGGTCCACAGGATTCTGAAATATGACGTTGGACAGACTGATGCACGGACAGACGGACGGACGGTCGGACGGACAGACTCAGGAACTTACGGACGGTTGGGACATGTATCCTAACATGTATAATCTATGTACCAAGTTTGAATGAAAACTGACAAAGCATGTCCAAAATACAACATTTTCAAAAAACAAGATGGCTGCCAGTTGGCCATTTTGAATCGAATCGCTAAACCACTGCATGTGCATATGTCCCACATAAAGTACTAGGCACATGCAAAGAATGAACAGAATCGGTCCAAGGGATTCTGAGATATGACTCCGGACGGATGGACGGACGCACAGACGCATGGACGGACGGAGACCGAATTATAAGTCCCCAAAGCGCCCACCCCTTCAAAATACCACAAATTTAAAACTTGGTCTTGGATCATTGCTTAATTATTACTGGTAATCGTTTTAATATGATACAGTGTAGATATCATAATTTCATAATCTTATTTTCCGTCAAAGACTTAATATCCCCCTGCAATGTGTCACATGATGAATTAAAATTGTCATTTGCACTCTTTTCCATGGAGGGTGCTCAGGTAAGCACCCACCCCTAAAAAATCATGATTTGGTTGAGGACCCTGGGCGCTATCGTGGTGCAGTACGGTATATCATATTCATCATTCCAAGCAGCGTGTATTTATTTACTACAAATGCATTGGGAAGAAAATGTGACATACCGGGGTACTTCAAAAACTGTTGAGACAAGACTTACTTCATAATCTCTAAGATTAGTATCTCCACCAAAAATGACAGCAGTGGCAGCGTCAGCTTCAGACATATGCTTTAGAACTGTTGTTAACTGTGTTTTACGTTCATGTGAATGATTCTTCATACTCTCCATATGAGATGTCATGAGTAGTAAATCTATATCACGAAATCTAGCCTGCAAAAATGAAAAAACTGATCAATGAGACCAATCAATGTGTTATGAACAAATGATGAACAAATATAGCAGCCTAGAGCCTTACAAGTACCGGTACTGTCAAAACTCTAAAATTTTACCGACTCTAAAAATCCAGCCAAAAATCCACCTAATTATTTTACCTCAAAAAATTTGACTTCACCAGAAATTGCTCACTTATTTAAAAAAATTTTTTTAGAGACATGACTTTCTATAATTATTCCATTTCTGCAACTGTATATAACCCAACTTTTATATTTGTTGAATTTTTACTCTATAACAAATTTGACTGGCTGAAAATTTATCGTTATTTTCAACAATTTTTCAATTAGAAATAATTTAAAAGTGGCCGAAATCTTAGAGTTTTCACGATGCTATTAAAAAATGATATATTGTGCACTCTTTGATAGCATCCTCTGACTGGCCCAGCCGTGGCATTTTTTATAATTTTGTTTTTTTCAAATCGTGGTCTGACGCAAAATTACCACAACTGATCTGTTCTGTGGCGTATTCATTTCTAGTAATTATTTTTGATATGCAGTGACGTTTTAGAACACGGGAGTGGAATACTTCCAAAAAAGGAAAGAAGCATGCATTTGCTAAAAAGATTCTACACATTATAGTTGTGTAGAACAAATTGGCTGGGAGCTTACAACTTACAAGTCTTGCTACTCATTAGCATATTCATCACCACAAAAACGTGGTGACAACTATAGAGGACGCGTCAGAACAGACCAGTCGTGGTAATTTTGTGTCAAGGCGTGGGATTCTACAAACTCCTTCTAAAGGAATTATAAAATAAAAACAATAAAATTGTCACGACTGAGCCAGTCTGATCATTCTCCTTAGCACTTACATGTAAGTTTCAGGTCAACTCATGCACGAAAAAAAAAACATGGCAGACATCATTTCACATCAAGTGTTTGAGTGCAGCCAAATAAGTTTGCTTTCAATGAAACTAAATTGAATTTTACTTGAATTAATCAAATAAAGTTTTTGTACATTATTATGATCAAGACAGAGTAATAATCTGACTGGATTACACCTTAGTGATGGTTCGCAACTAAGTAATATGATTGAGTTTTTTATATGAAACTTGCTCTATACTTTTCTTTACCAACAAAATTAAAGTCAATGCACATTACCCAAAATAAAAGTTTTTAATATCACGTTAAAATTCCAATAATTTTGTTGTTGGACTGTGAAGTTTTCAACTGATTTCGATGCTCATTTTAGAATCAAATTAAGGGATATATACTAAAATATCTTATAAATTACCATAAAAATCCAATTTCTGTAATCACAGCCATATATTTATGCTGTGGTACATAACTTACTTTGACGGTCAACAAGTTTCTATACATTTTCGTAGTTGGGAATTCTATTATCTTGTGAGCTAGGAGAGAAATTCTACTTTTTCTCAGGAGGATAGTTGTGAAATACTGTTCTGAATTGGCAGGTATGGCAATGTAGGTTGGTGAACACATGGTTTCTATATAAGCAAATGTTTCCACGATAACTTCTTGTAAGTACACTACATCAGGAGACTCTCTGAACGAAAATGGGAAAAAAAGTTACTAATAGGTAATATCAGATGTACATTACTACAACTACGGTGACATGATACCAAGATCCTGTTTCAATCTCGCTCTCGCATAAGCGTTCCAACTCAGAAAAATGTGAATGCGCATGCCCGAGGTAACTAGGATACTGGGATGTCCAGGTGGATCAAAATAGCTGCTCACGATATGACGGATTACGATAACTATATTTTCTGTACATTTTTGATGTATTACAATTTTTCACTATCAACGTGGTAGTACATGTTTTATTGTTTTATTACAAACCGCTTATGTCATGTCAGGAGGTCGTAGCATCAGTCTCGCTATCTACGAGATGAGACTTGAATGAGATCTTGACATGATGTCACCATACAGTACTATGCACGTTGCAAACCCCAAGTAATGTACCTCTGGTAATATTGATTATATATATGTTTGGTTGAACCAATGTTTACAGTGAGCATACCTATATCATGATTGTAAGAACACATGCGCATGCATTCATCACAGGTGCTGCATTTTCACTGTATTCGTGTTTGTGGTTGACGACTCGTGTCAAGTAATGTCTCAAAGATGCGTTTACAGTTTGCAATTATGTGACGCATTACACCCAGCACGAGATAAAAACATAAAATGTGTTAAAATAGATAGATATCTTGATCTCACCATTCCACACATTTTATTTTGAGAGTACTGGGAGGACTTATCCCATAAACAAACATATCTACAATGTAACTGTACTTTAAAAAAACAACAAAGCCTTTTAACTCAGTGAATGTTTGTTGTAAATAAATCCAACTCAATTTTTTAGAAGCTCGCTTAAATTCTTATTCTGAAGTTAATTTCTCGTTATCCATCTACAATCTGAACATTTGATGGTGTACATGTTGGTCAGGGGATTGTACCTCACAGATTTGCAAAGTGGAAATGCAATTTTAAGTACTTGTAGACTACCGCCATCTCTATAAAAGAGTAAATCCAAGACCTGTCAATCAAGCACCACAGTATCAAGTCTACATGTACAACAAAGCAAATGATAATTGTTTTGTAAACTTTCAAGTCATCTTGCTAACTGCATCACTATCTGAATAATTCTCGGAAGCACTGTAATCAGCAGCCAGCGTAGAGTAATTAAATAGGGCAAGATACTATCATAAAAGCAGCTCAAAACTTAGCATTGATAACATGTTTATAAAGTGCACACATAGCAAGTTATTATAAAAAACAAACAAAAAAAAACCACTCATAACATGGAATCTACTCACCGCTTAATTATAGAACAAACAGTTTTTGTCCTTTCTGTAATATTTTTATTATCTAAACCATCTATATTCCATGTCAATAGTTTCAACATCAATGAACATGTTTGGTTGCCAAGGTTACTATCTGCAGGGGCGCCTGAGCTGAATTAAAAATCAAAGAAAGTTTAGAAAGAACTCCCATGTGCTGAGAGTATTGGAGACACATTAAATATAATTTGAAATTACTTAGCTGAAAACTAATTATGCAAATCAGAAAATTAATATGAACAGATTTGAGTGTAAAACTAATGAGGTCTGCGCAATGTAACAGAAAATCTATGTTTCCAAGTTTAATTGAAATGTGATTAGAACCAAAAAATTATGAATTATTATGCTTATTAGGGAATTAATATGAACAGATTTTTAACCCAAACTAGAGCATCTTTGTACTAAGTTTCATTGAAATGGAATAATTAGTACTTTAGATATCAGTGTGAAAGCTTAAAATTTGTTAATTATGCAAATTAGGTAATTAATATGTACAGATTTTAACCCACAATTATCCAGGTCTGTCTATTGTCCTACAGCATCCATGTACATTCATTGATAT